AAAGGGATGAATTCAGAATACACTTTGAAAGCAAAAGGTGATGTGACATTCTGCTGCATATGGGCATAAGGAGAAGGAAAAAGTGAGGATAACTCCTGGATTTGGGGACAAGACAACTTGGTGGCTTTGGTGCCAGCATTTAAAAGGAGGAAATTGGGAGGAGTGGGGGTTTGGGATGTTAAATTTTTCCTTTAATGAAAAAAAACACATGATATAAAAGTTGTGGTCTTGCCTGTTTCTGAGTGTGCCACTCAGTAGCATGGAGCACACGCGCCCTGTTGCGCGGCCATCACCGCCGTCCCTCTCCGCAACTCTTCATCTTGCAGAACCGAAGCCCTGTCCCTGTGGAACAGTAACTCTGCACTTCCCACTCTCTCCCCACCCCGAGCAGTCACCCTGCTGCTGTCCTGAGGAATCTGACGGCTCTGGGTACCTTCTACGCACGGGGCCACACAGCATTTGTCCTTTTGTGGCTGGTCTAGTTCCTCAGCAGAGTGTTACCCAGGTTCATCTGTGCCGTAGCACGGTCAGAATCCCCTTCCTGAGTAATAGCCCCTAGGGATGTTGCACGGTGTCCACACACCAGCTTGTTTTTCCATTCATCGGTTGTTTTATTGTGGAGGATGTTGCTGTGAACATGAGCATACAAATATCTCTTCAAGACCCTGCTTTCAGTTCTTTTGGGTATGTACCCAGGAGAATTGCTGCATCATATGGTAATTCTGTGTTGAATTTGTTGAGGAACTGCCATGGTATTTTTTGTTGGGACAGTACCATTTTATATTTCCAGAGGCAGTACACAAAGGTTCCCGTTTCTCCACATCTTCACTAACACTTGCTATTTTCTATGTTTTTATAGCGGCCATCCTGATGAATGGAAGGGGCAATCTCATTGTGGTTTTTATTTCTACTTTCCTAATAATAGTGATGTTGAAGATCATTTCATGAGCTTCTTGGCAATTTGTGTGTGTGAGTGTGTGTGTGTGTGTGTAATTATATATATAAAATTATATATATATAATTATATATATAATTTTTTTCTCAACTCAGGTTGTTTGGTTGTTGTTACTGAGTTGTAGGAGTTCTTTACTCTGGATATTGACCTCAGCAGCTGTGTGAGCTGTAAGTGTTTCCTCCCACTCCATGGGCTGCGTTTTCACTGTATTGACTGTGCCCCTTTTCATGCAAAAGTTTTAAATTTTCATGTAGTTCAATTTATTTTTTCTTTTGTTGCCTGTATGAGAGCTTAAAATAAACTTATATTTAAATATATTGCTATTTTAAACTTATTTTACAATATAAATTTGGAGGCAGCTGGGTATATGAGACTGAAGTTCATAGGAGGGGCCAGCATAAAATATGAATTAGGGATTAGCCACAGGTGGATGACACAGGGGCCACATTCCAATGCTGACAAGCTTGGGGGAGGCCTGCATGGTGGGCCTTAAAAATCAGAGACCAAGAGTAAGCATATAGGATGGTCTGAACATAAAAATTCTTAACTCAAAGCAGATCCTAGGCTGGTAGCTTCCTTGACAAAGGTCATTCTTTACCTTCTATGCGCCTGTCTACTGTTTTTTTTTTTTTTTTGTATCTGAGATAAAGTACCTGTGGGATGTCAGAGTCGTCTTCTTTCCAGACCCCTCAGGGCACCATCGCCCACCAGGGCACAGACCACAGAACTCTCATTGTCATCTTGTTCCCCAAATACCGTGTCCACGTGCTGTGAACGTTAACAGTCCTGTACCCCCAATGAAGAAGAGGCATGTGTCTCTCCACTTTACATTTTATCCAGTTCCAGAGATGTCCCTGCTTTGCTTTCTCCCCCCTTCCTAATCTACCACTAATGTAGCTCATGTAACCCCCCACCCCTTATGTCTCTGCCTCTGATTCTAATGTATAAAATAAGCTGCAAAACTGCCATTTTCCAGATCCTTTTCTCAATCCATTCAGATTTTGCTTCCTGGCAATTGTCAGCTCAAATGCACTCATAAAAATTCTCTATAGGTTTGGATGTTTCTTATGTTGATGCACGTGTGGATGGCATTTAAAGTCACGTTGTAGATGGAGTCACCCAAGGGAGAAGATACATAGGAACTAGGTCACCCTATGAGACAGTCATCTTAGAGTAAGATTCCATTGGAAGATATCGAGTAGCTTCAACTGAGTTAAATTTGGATACTTTAAGTTATTGATGATCTTAATTCACTCTTCTAAGCTAGATGCCAGATTAGGGTGGAAATGAGAAAGCCCTAGATGAGTAGTAAACCTGCTTGCCATTGTATTATTGCAATAATAACACTAACAATAGCCCGAGGCATGTCTGAGTTCTCACAACAGCTCGTGGGATACATATTTGTATTGTCCTCACTTTATAGACAAAGAAACCCAAAAGAAGTTAAATAATTTATGCAGGCGCTATAGTTAGTATGTAGTAGGTCTAAATGAGAACCCTGGCTGATCTGCCTCCAAGCCTGTACTCTTCATTGTGCACACTACACCTCCTTATCCTTAAAAAATGAAGGCTAGCCCTCAGCCCTTACCAGCTGACAATGTTTGATCTCCTTGGGCTTCATATCAGCACAGCCACGCCTTTGTGGTGGGGAATCTTCCGGGACAAATGGCACTGCCTTGGTTATCTTAGTTAGGCTGACCTGCAGTCCTTTTTTGAACACTCTGGATCTTTGCATTGTGCCAAATTCTCCTACATCACAAGTAAAAGAAAAGAAGGTAGATGGAGGTAGTATACGGGGATCGACAGAAGTCATCATGTTTTATTCCTCTTTCTCTTCAATCTGGATACTACAGTTTTTTGCTTCAATCTCACTTCCTCCATTTTCCTGTCATTCTGCTTGCCTGGATGGCAAAACCCCCAATCCGACCAGGAGTACACGTCATTTCTACCCTGGGACACTGGAGAAAATCATGCTACCACGTGACTTGGTGTCTCTATAAATTTACATTTCCAGCCACGGTTAGACCCTCAACCCATTTGACTCTCTGACAACACACATGTTTCTCCAACCCATGACGATTTCCCTTCTCTCCTGGACCTTAAGTCATCAGCTTCCATTGAGAGTGAGGAGTCAAATGCAAATAGCTCTCTGAGATTCTGCTTTGAATTATTTTTGATATATACCCAGAAGTGGAGTTGCTGATCACATAGCAATTCTATCTTTAATTTTGGGGGAAACCTCCATCCTATTTTCCATAGTAGTTGCCCCATTTTGCAGTTCCACCAACAGTGCACAAAGGTCCCAGTTTCTCCACGTCCTTGCCGACATTATGTTTCAAGTTTGAGATGGTATATATCTCACTGTTGTTTTGACTTGCATTTCTCTCGTGAGTAGTGCAGTTAAGCGATGCTTCATACGCTTGTTGGGCATTTGTGTATCTTGTTTGGAGAACTGTCTATTCAGATCCTTTGCTCATTTAAAACCAGGTTGTTTATTGTTGAGTTCTGAAAGTTCCTTTTATAATCTGGGCACTAATCCTGTGTCAGATATATAATTTGCAAATATTTTCTCTCATTCTGTGTGTTGCTTTTTCACTCTGAGGCTTTCTCTGACACTCAGAAGTTTTTACGTTTGGTGCAGTCCTATTGGTCTATTTTTGCTTTTGTTACCCACTGGTTTGGTGTCCCATGCAGAAAGTCATTGTCAAACTCGATGTCCTGAAGCGTTTCTTCTCAGAGTTTTATAGTTTCAGGTCTTCAATCTTTGAGTTAATTTTTATATATGGTATAAGGTGTAAATCTAAACTCACTCTTTTGCATGTGCATATCCAGTTTTAACACAACCATTTGTTGAAGAGAGTGATCTTTCCCCACTGTGTAGTCTTGGCACCCTTGTTGGAAATCATTAGGCCATATATGCGCAGGTTTACTCCTGGGCTCTTTATTCTGTCCCCTTGGTCTCTATGCCTTTCTTTATGCCAGTACCACACTGTCTTGATTACTGTTGCTTTGCAGTATGTTTTGAAATCATAAGGTATGAGGCCTCCAACTCTGTTCTTTTTTAAGATTGTTTTGGCTATTTGGGGTCCCTTGAGATTCCATATAAATTTTAGGATTTTTTCCTACTTCTGCAAAAGTTCCATTGGGATTTTGAGAGAGTGGACAATGAATCTCTAGATCACGTCAGTTACCATAGGCATTTCCATGACATTTGAGGCTTCCAATCCATGAGCATGGGAGGTCTTTCCATTTATTTGTATCTTTTTTGATTTCTTTTAGCAGTGTTTTGTATTTTAAGTGTACAAGTCTTTCACTTTCTTTTCTAGGTCCTACTTAGTTGTGTGTGTTTTTTTAATCCTCACCTGAGGACATTTTTTTTTGTTGTTGTTGCTTTTAGAGAGAGAGTAAGGGAGAGAGAGAAACATCAATTGGTCACCAGCACACACCCAGACAGGAGATCTTAAATCCCTAAACCAGGGATCAAATCTGCAATTTAGGTACGTGCCCTGATGGGGAATCAAACCTGCAAACTTCTGATAATGGGACGACACTCCAACCAACTGAGCCACACTGGCCAAGTCTAGGCCATACTCTGTTTTTTTTTTTTAAATTGCAAATAATTCTGTGATAAACATCTATGTGCATAAATATTTCATATATCTCTGATTATTTCCTAGTTGTAGAGTTAATACCTCAAAAAAAATCCAAACATTTTAAGGTTCTGAAACACTCTGCCAATTTGTTTTCCAAAAAACTAAAATAATTTACATTCCCACCAGAAGAATATTAGAGTGCACTTAATCATACCCCCATCAATATCGAATAGGGTCATTTTGTAATCTTTGTGGTGTGTGAGTTGAAAAATGGCATCGCATTGTCACATCAGTTAGTATTCTTTTGGTTACTTGTGAAGCAGAACACTGTTTTTTTGCACGTTTATTGACCAATATTTTCTTGTTTGAAAAACTCATCATTTCTTTTGCTCTTTTAACTATAATAATGATAATAATAATACTCATTTTTTCAACAAATATTTATTGAGCATCTACTATGCGACAAGCACTGTTTTAACTAGGATACAGAAGTGGTCTTCAGGGCATGCAGGGAAGCACTTCAATGAGGAAACGCAATGAAGAAGAAAACTAGCTAGGACGTCAAAGGGTAACAAGAACTATGGAGAACAATGAAGCAGGGATGGGTAAGGTTAGGACAGAGAAAGAACAGGACACAATTTAAAATAAAGTGGTCAGGTAAGGATGTATTAAACAGGCAACATGTGAGCAAAGACATACAGGAAGTAAGAGCGAGCTATGCAGATACCTGGGAAGAGCATTCCAGTAAGAGGGAACTTACAGAAGCACAGGTAGCATGTCACAGAGAGCAAGACCTGGGCAGCGGGACTACAGAAAGCAGTGGGGAGAGTAACAGGAGATGAGTCCGAGAGCTAAACAGTGGGGCAGATGGCAGAGGGCCCTGTTACTTAGGTGAGCATGCATTCATTCTCCCCACTCAGCACCACGGCATGTTTCTGGTCCAGCCTTAATACAATGGAATGATTTCTCCACTTCGTTTTTACACATTTCTTATTAACATTATTTCTGGGTATTTTACATCTATATGATTGTTGTGAATGGAATCTAGTTTTTTTCCAGAATATTTTCTAGCTGGTTCTATCTAGTACATAAAAAGTGGATACTTCTTACATGCCTCCACTTGAACGGAACCTATTTCAGTGTAAGAATTTTTAGTTAAATCTCTTGGATTTTAAAAACAGAATATCATGACTACAGTAAAACTCACTCAGAAGCGTTGGAAAGGGTGAGCACTAAAACACACGTCCATGAAGTTTCTGCTGACGGGACGCCTCTCGCACCTCACTCTAGTCTGCAGTGTGACGTTGGCTGTGAGCCTGAGACTGATATTCACGAGAAGCTTAGGAATTTGCTTTGTAGGCCAGCTTTTAAAGTAGTTTTAAAAATCAGGGACATACCTTGAATTAAACTAAATATTATTTGGGCATGTACCGATCAACTTGGCCTTTGAACCACCAAAGAGATAATCAGCTTGGTGCTTGCTGCCTTTCTATAAACAGATTTATAAAAGTCATCTCTTCGAAGCTATTGTAAAATATAAAGCACCCATACCAACAGCAATAAAAGGTAATTATCACATCCTTTTTATATTTACAAAAAGAGCATTTCTATTTAGGTGTTTAAATATTCAAACATCTATGTATCAAAAATAACATTGTTATCAAGCTAGAGTTATAAAGTGTTTTAATTAAATATTTATCAAAAGATAAGCAGGGCAAGGTCCCGGGCCTCCAAGAGGCTGACAGCCACGTGGAGATGGGGGTGGGGGATGATAAGAAAGGAGCCCACCTGATGAGGGCAACAAGCACCAGAAGAACACAGCAGAGTGAGCAGTCACTGCTGGTGGGACAACTTGTTGGGAGTCAGCATGACCTCCCTTTTCCGGGACGGCAGCCTAGCGCCTGGTGGGGTGGGTGGAATGGCAGACAGGCTGCATCGGCGGGGGAGATAAAAGCACTAGCCACATCAAGCTGTCATCTGTGTCCCCAATGACAAAGCATAAACTATTATAAGATACTCTAGTGGATTTTAAGCAAGAATCAAAATGTAGGATCAGTGTGTCAGTAGGATATAAATAACTATCTTATTTCTTATCTTAAAGTTTAAGATAAGAATTTCAAAATAACGGGTGCAGCCCTGGCCGGGAAGCTCAGTTGATCAGAGCATCGGACACCAAGGTTGCAGGTTCGATCCTCGGTCAGGAGATCATCCACTGAATGCATCAATAAGTGGAATAACGAGTGTGTCAGGATGTTACATCAAAGATTCATTTGAAAAATGTTCAGCAAAAGTTAACATTTGGGGAGATGCTGCCACCATACAGCATATTAAAAAACAGTGGCCGCCTGTCTCTACAAGCACGCCGTAGCCCTGGATGTGTTGCAGGGTCATCAGCAGTAGCTTGTCGCCATGCTGCTGTCAGAAAGCCATGGCCAATGAAAGCATGCCATCCCCAAGTCTCCACGAGTGCCTGCTGCCTATGTGGTCACCTCGGCCTGCCTACAACGTGGTGTGACACCGAGCTGACATTCATCTTCCGAGCTTATGGTAGCTTTCCCTTTTGCGCCGCTCATTCATGGAACAGAGGTTCCTCTACTGCTGGTCAGACACAGCCCCGATTAGAGAGGATACAGCTGCATGCCATGCTTAGGAAGGCGTGTTAATGGGAAGTTGTAAAAGGCTCCCTAGATGGTTGGCTTGGACAGCCTTCTTCCTGGGCGTTGACCCCCTGGCTCAACCGAGGGCACACGAACCATCTCTACCAGTCTAACAGCTTCGTGGTTTTGCTGATTCTATTTCCCAGGGAAATATCTCCTAAGCCAGTCTTAGGAAACAGGAGGCTTAGTCCTGTGCTCAAAAAGAGCACAACACAAGTGGCTCATTGAACTGTCTGTGAGCTACAGCTGCCGCCATCACAGAGAGGACCTGCATCAGTTCCCTTCTTAAAGGCCCATGGGCCACAGGAGCCAGGGCCTACTTGATCCCCTGCAAAATACTACTAACACCAGCCATCAATTCCTCTCAAAGGAGTGTATAAAATTTTCTGGCTAGGAATGCTGCATGTAGTCATTTGATTATAGCAGCACATGAGTCCACTTTCAGAGATGACTATAATTTGGAATGTACTGGCTCACTTACACACACACACACACACACACACACACACACACACTGTTGTCACCTGAGAGTTGTATTGCTACAATGATATTCTTTTTATTTGGAGAGCTGAGTGGTATGTTTGGAACTGAGTGTTAATCTTTATACACACTGATCAGTCCTCAACCAACATATTTTCAGTCTTACAAACCTGTTTCATCAAATGAATTAGTAAGGAGGACTGTCTAGAAATGGTTAGTTTAAAAAAATAAGGAGATTATCTGGAAGAGCAGTCCAGAACTTGCTATATGACAAGCATTTCTCGACAGCAGGGTCCGTTCATGGCCACAGCTGGTCCACCATCAGGAAGGTGGACCACTTTCCGTCACCAGGAAAGGCTTTGGTTTCTTCAGAGTCTCATGTATCCGTTTTCCAGTTCACCAGGTGGGGTGGAGATTTTATCAGAACACAGTTACTAGGACTTTGGGATTTTCTTCACTGTCCATGGGATCTCTTGGTTTTTTCCCAAACCTGAACCTGAAAATAAGATAGGTGCTAAAGAAAGTTAAATATTCAAGACTCTCTTCTCTAAATGCTGGCGTGACACTGAAAAACATTTCTCATCAATGAACAAGTAATTATGGTAACTGTTATACAAACCTCAGAGGTCTAGAGCTAATATTTTATGATTTTGAATATTTGAAGTCACTTTCTTAAGTAAACATAAAAAAAACCCAGAATTTAGTTTCCCTGTGGGAAGGATGGATTGGTAAGAATGAAGTTCTTGGAGACTTAAAGTTGATATCGAAATGGTGGAATCATTTCGTTACAAGAAAACAACTTATCAACAACAGGCACATTTCCTCGCGCTCTGTAGGGGACTGGAATCCATCCCCGTGATGAAGGCCCTCTGCTGTGGGCAGGCGCGAAAACATGTCATCTTACACAAGCTGGCAGTAGCCATAAGAACTGTTCCCCATCTAACGGATGGGCACACTGAAGTGTAGTGTAATTAAGTTTGCCCAAAGTCAAATTTCCCGAAATTTATGCAGATGTGGGATTTGAAGCCAGGCAGTTTCGTTGTAGAACCTCAACTTCTCCTACCACACCACCTATCTTTTAAATCTTTGCCACTCTGTGGTACCCTAGAAAGATACTTGGTTTTTGTCCCCATTCCCAATATGGAGCTCATAAATCTCCTGTAATTTCCTGAGAGATAAGGGTAAGAGAGGTATCTTATCTTGTCTTTTGTGCAAACGAGGCAACTCTTGGCTGGGCTCCCTTACGTAACTTCAGGATGGCAGCCGGTCGCCCGAACCAAGACTTGATTCATTGGAAGCCTAGAACTTTCACCCCACCCCGCAACCTCCATGGGGGAATACAGGGCTGGGGATTGGACTAATAATTGACCCTGCCTATGTCCATGTGATGAAATCTCCATAAACCCCCTAAACCCTGGGGTTTAGAGAGCCTCTAAATTGGCAAATGCACCCACGTGCTGGGCTGGGGGCACCCCCAACTCCGCCGGACAGAAGCTCCCGCACTCTGGACCCTTCTGGGCCTCCCCCTGTGCACCTCTTCAACTGGCTCTTCATTCGTATCCTCTACCATAAACCAGAGATAGTACAGCAAGTGTTTTCCTGAATTCTGTGAGTCCTTCTAGCTAATTACTGAACTTCGTTCAGGAAGGGGTTTGTGGAAGCACCAACTCTGTAGCCAAGTTGGACAGAAGTGTGGGTTGCCTGGGGACCTGATACTTGGGACAGGAATCTGAAGTGAGGGCAGTCTTGGGGGACTAAACCCTTGAACTTGTAGAATCTGATGCAAACTCCAGGTAGCCAGAACTGGTTGGTATCAGGAGGAAAAATCCTCACAATCTCATAGGCCAAAAACGATGATACTGAAGTGTTATATCTGCCACTGAAATGTCTTTTTCTGTAAACTGCTTGTTCATGACCTTTGCTAGCTTTCCTACTGGTTGTCTTTTCCTCTACTAATCACTAAGAGTTTTATGTTTATTAGGTATAAGTAGCCCTAGGTTCATATTGCATGTTGCAAGTATTTCCCTCCTGGCTTGCTGACCTTTGTCTTTATTTATGGCTTCTTTTTTTTTTTCTGTGTCAACAATTTCTAACATTACATAATCAGATATATCAATCTTTTCCTTTATGGCTCTTTGCTTTTCATATCATGCTCAGAAAGGCCTCCTCAAAAGTTATAAAAATTTTTATGCTTTCTTTTGTGGTGTTTATGATTTTATGTTTTTTAGGCCTCAATTTTTATTCTTTCTGGAATTTATATAGATGCATTTGAAGTAAGACTCAAGTTTTTAGTTATCCAAAATGGCTAGCTGAATGTTCTCACACCTGGTACGGAATAATCTAACTCTCCCCCACTGCTTTTGAATTGCTACTTTTCATCACATGCAGAATCCTCATAGTTTTTTTTGGTTTAATTCTGAACTCTAGTCCAGTGATTTCTATTCCTACACCACTAGCACACTGTTTTCACTGCCACTGCTCAATAATATGCTTTATTTTATGGAAGAGCTACTCTCCACTTATTATTCTTCTTTTTAAGACATCTCCTAGCCACTCTTGCATGCTTATTCTTTCTGAGGAATTTGATATCATTTTTTAAAGTTCCACTTACCATTTCACTTTCTGCATCTCCTCTAAGGTCTCCGGTAGAGTCATTCCAAAACTTTCAGGGAAAAACAGAGTGATGATTCCGATCAGGACGGTCAGGCTGCCCATGAGGATGTAGGGCAGAAGTCTGTTGTAGGCTCCTGCAAGGCACGGACATCACTTAGATGCGGGACGCTCCAAGGCACTCTCAGGAATCATCACGTAAAGGTCGGCAAGCAGTGTTTGACAACAGTTTTGAATAGGAACATTCCCAGGAGTTACAAAGCATGCAAGTTACACCATTTGTTTTTGGCAGATGCCATTGTCCTAGCATTTCCATTGTGATTTGCCTGCTTGATTTTGCATGATCAGAAGGTCTTTCATGTCAACTGGTATTCGCCAGGCTACTATTTAACCATGCGTCACAGATGTTCGTTTGATAGAAATCTTTGCTTAGCAAAGTTCACCTCTGAAGGCAGATGAAACTGGAGATAGGGGGATGGGAGAACATCAAGGGGAAAGAGGGTGACTGGGATGTTGCAAGGACAGGGATGGGCCAGCATGACTGGCGTGACCTTTGCTTTAGCCCCAACCAGTAGGCTGTGGTGGAAAGCTAGGTCTACAGAGTCATGAGACTCTATAAAAAAATGTAAGTGATATATATTCCACCCAATTTAAATAAATAAATGTCAGACACTATGAAAGTAGTGCTTTGGTTTCTTTTTGCAGCAACTCTTGGTTTTCTATGTAACTGGAAGAACCCCTCCAATTCTGCTGGTGCCACTCAGCAGAATAATAGCTCTCCATTTTGCTGCCCATTTGCATACAGAGATTACAGAGGAACAACATACCCAAGAATTTTATTTGACAAAAAACATTGATCTTGAAACTTTTCTGAGGCCTCTGTGTCACTAACAGGAGTAGTGATTGTGACATCAGAAGCTCTGTCTCAGACTCCTCCATTTTTTATGTATCAGTGGTCCGCTATGAGACTATAGAAGTATAATTTGGAGGTACAGGGAAGAACAAAGGGGAAATGACTCTATTCCACACAATAATGTGTTTTCTTGGGTGTTGTTCAGGGCAGCTGTGCAGAGGATGTTTAAGACAGGAAAATGTTTCTCTGAGGATTGCGTGTACCTTTTCTGAGAATTCATGTATTCTTTGTGTGTGTGTGTGTGTTTGAACTAGTAGGTAATCAATGGATGCCCAGGAAAAATAAGGAGGTGTGCATGCATCTCTCATCAGTAGGGTCCTCCATGAGGAGGATTAGGCTTGGAGCACCAGATAGTGCATCCACTGGACATCCCCCTAAAGTATCTCTGGGGTGTTATTTCAGCCTGGTAAATTGAATGATATAAAAAGTAAAATTTCCTGCATTGCGAAAAAATATCATAGTCAAAATGTAAGTGATAAACTAGGAAAAATATTAATTTTTATTGATTTTTTAAGAGAGGGAGAGGAGGGGGGAGAGAGAGAGAGAATGGGGAAGAGAGAGGAACATCAATTTGTTGTTCCACTTATCCATTGTTTGATTCTTGTGTGTGCCCTGACCGGGGACTGATCACACAACGTTAGTGAATTGGGATGACACTCTAACCAGCTACAGGGCAACTAGGAAAAATATTTACAATGTATATACAAAGGACTACTTTTTTTTTTTTTCCAATTACGAAGACCTCTCACAAATCAAAGACAAGGAGTTGAAAAAAAGACATTAGAAAGATGGGCAAAAGACATAAACAGTCAGGTTACTGAGAAATAGAATGTCAATAAATATATGAAAAATGTTCAACCTCATTATAATTAAAGAAATGCAAATGAAACAACAATACCCATTTTTCACATAACAGATGATCAATGATTAAAAAACTGGATAATTCCCATTGCTGGTGAAGATACGGAGACATGGGCACATTTCCTGTATTGACAGTTGGGTTATAAATTGGTTCCATATCTAGAGGTTAACTTGGCAATATCCCTAATATTTTAAAATTGCTCCAGCAGTCTATGAATCCAAGTATATCCAATCAAACAAACAGAGGGTGCAGGGACATAGGAAAATGTTCATGGTAGTATTTTTTTGTACTAATAAAAACCTGGATATTGCCTCAATGTCCATCCACTGAACTTAGTTAATGAAATTATGTATATACATACAGTGGAAGACTAGGCACTAACTAGGAAGAAGGTATGAGAACTATGTATACCAATAAAGATAGTCTGATACTATGTTAAGTTTAAAAAGTTGTGAAACAATATACATGTAATTTTTTTCTGTTTAATATATATAAACAAAATGTCTGAAGAGCTATTCACCAAACTGTCAATACTAATTATTTCTAGGGTTGTGATTTGGGGAGCTGAGAGAGAAGAGAGTACTTTTTCCAGTACTTTCTATGCTCTTTGAATTTTTCACAGTGAAAATAAATTACTTTAATATTTTAAAAAAAGAACACATAGCTAAGATGTTTCTCACCAAGGTATACAAAGTAGGGAGCGATGATGCTGCCCACCCTGGAGGCCATGGACGTGACCCCCACGGCCATGTTTCTGACCAGCGTTGGGTAGAGCTCGGCGGTGAAGACGTACAGCATGGAGAAGGCGGAGGTGATCCCGAATTTCCCTAACATCGCCAGGCTGATGGACAAGAAGTAGTAATCTGGAAAAGAGACCCCGTGTACACAGAGGCACTTTTAGAAGTGATAGTCTCAACTCAGTTGCTTTTATCTTCCTCTCTGCTTGAATGAGCTTGTTTTTTTGTTTTTGTTTTTTCACAATGTAAAGCTACTCCCCAAATAACACGTTCTCTGCAAATGTCTCAATCATCGACATGGACAAAGATGGAGAGAGTGAGGGGCTGCTTTGCACTTCACTCAACTGTTATTCTAGAAAATGTATACGTTCAGAGACCTGCGTCTGCTTTTATTTGTTACAGGACTTTCACAGTAAATTGTCAGCATGTTAACATAGTGCTGTTTAAATTTCAAAGAGAAGGACCAATCCTTTCTATCCCGCTTATTATTATTAAGAAATATATATTTCTATGTATGATACTACATGTCAATAAGCTGTTGCCTTAATGTTTTAATAACATGAGAGAGTTAGACAGAGGGAAGAGGGACGCATGTCCCTTTGCATGCTCTTTAACTGAAGCATTACAGACCCCCCAAATCACTGCATCTATATGGGAGCTGGTGTGTACCAACTCTAACACTCAAATATACACCTCAAGAAAAGGTTTGAAAGTATCAAGAAACTGGGAATTAGGGTGGTGATTTCAAGAAAGAGGTTTGAGGGTTTAGGTGAGTGTTTCTGTGAAGGGGATGCCTGGGAGCGTGAATTTTCCTCCACAGGTAATGATTTCCAAGTCTCTGAGGCTGACTCATCCGTTTGAGGGGTGTTTGTCTGAACACAGGAAATCACATAGTTAGCAATTATTTGTCTAATTGACTTATGAATGGTATTTGATGTAGAGGCTACATAAGTAGGGAACGGTGACCGGTAGTTAGCCTAAGTCAAGGTGTAGATCTTTCCCATTAGGCTGTTAACATTGGTTAACTTCTTACCCACAGGCACCAATTGAATTAGGAGAAGCACGCCTCCTCCGAAGAACAGCACGCCAGCTATGATGTAACGCCTGGGCAGGGTTCGCAGGAGCAGCCAGGCTGCAATGTACGCTGGAACTTCGATCAAGGCAGAGAGGAAGCAGTTCAGGTAGGCATCTCCGTGTAAATTAGGAGAGTTGAGAGACAGAGCGAAGTAACCCACTGAGGTTAGCATCCTAAAAGACAGAACAAAAAAACAAAATGATGAAAGAATGGCCTGAATTACCCTAAACTTTCCTAACGGCCAAGAAGTGGCCTATATTCTGTTTTCCAATAAGTAGCCACTTACTACTCATGGCTATTTAAAAGTAAATAAATTTATTTACTTTTATTTAAATAACATCAAATAAAATCAAAGAGTTCTTCTGGCACACTAGCCACACTTCAGTTGCTGAGTAGCCAGCCACCCGTGGCTAGTGGCTACTATAGCGGACAATGCAGGTAAAAACATTTTCATCGCTTTAGAACCTTCCATTGGACAGCGGGGGTCCAGCTATACTGATATGCAACAATACTGATATGCAACAATACTGATCCCAGTCCAGTTAATTTTATATGTCAGTATTTCCAGAACACTTTGCACACCCTCATTCCCTGTGAGCTATTGTTTGAAGAAAGAATGTATATCAGTGGACATAAAATCCAGACTTCACTCTTATCAAAAAATAAGAAAGGGAAGGAGGAAAAGAGGAGGAAAAGGAGGAAGAAAAGGAGGTAATACTCTGGGATCCACTTACTGTAAATTCCAATGGACATACTAAAACTCACTTTAGGGAAAAGAATGAAAGTCCCATGATGCTTCAAAGTATCACAAAGTGCATACCACATGTCCTGTCATTACAGCTGACATCCACACAAAAGCTTCTCTGTGGAAAAATTACTGCCCTAGGCAGACTCCCCTGTGCAGAATATACTTATTATTAGCACAAAAAGCAGAGGATATCTGAAAAACCTTTCCAGGACACAGCTGGATATTTTTATACATACTTAACTAGGTTGGGTAGCAGAGCAGCTAATCCAAAATGCAGCCAGAAATTAGACCTCATTGCTCTAGGAATCGTAGTGATTTTCACATTTGGTAGTAAGAGCAGCTCCGATAAAAACCCAGCGACTATGCTGACAGGTGAGAACTAAGGAGGCCTACCGTGAGAGAGGGAAGCCAGGTGCCTGGACACATTTGCTTAGTCATAAGCTCTGTCACCGCTTTCCCTGACCTGCAGAGCCAGACCATCCAATAAACAGATGAGCTGCCATCTGAGCCTGCTAATTCTGATGACCATTTTTGCTGCTGCTGTCACAGGGTAGGCACCTTCTTTTTTTCTTCTTCCTCATTTCTTGGCAGATCCATTATTAAATCTAGCATACAAGTTGATTCACTATTTCAATGTCTTGCTAGTTCGCAACTGGCAAGTATGAAAAGCTTGTCAAAACAAATACAGGCAGCAGGGATTCAGGTTATTCTAACCTGTCAATTGCCAGCAAAGCTTCAGGAAGCAGGAACTGAATTAGCATATCTGCTTCAGGGACATCATTAGTTTTTTTTTTTTCCTATCCTCATTTGAGGACTGGAGAAGGAGGAAGGGTGTGAGAAAGAGAGAGAGGGAATACCATTTATGTGAGAGAGAAACATTGCTCAGTTGCCTCCTGTATGTGCCCGGACTAGGGATCAAACCCGAAAACCCTTTGGTGCACAGGATGACACTCCAACCAACTGAGCCACCCAGCCAGGGCACATCCTTAATCAGTCTTAATCCTAATCACTTTAGGAGGGGAGGGACCCTTTCCTTGTGGGCTTACTGCAGACTTAAATATTGTTCTCCGTGACTTTTCTTTTTCAATGTCCAGTCCCATGAATTGAATTGAGGCATCTCCAATTAACTTAAAATTGTATAACTTTTATTTTGTTTTAGGAAGACCCAGGCCTTGCTCTGATGTTCTCTTGAATTAAAGCAAATTGGTCGAATCTTATGAGCTGCATGCCACACTTCCGGCTCACCAATGACTTACCATAGCAGCAAAGACATGATGGTTATGGTTGCAAGGTTCCTAGTCCTGAATAGGTCCAGAATGAAGGCTTTCTGTTGCTTCAGGGGTTTTAGCTCCTGTAGCTAAAATAATGCAAATAACCAGGAGATTAAGAGGTAGTGAGGAAGTGTCTTTGGCCATGACAATGAAGAAACAAACTTACGCATGTAACTCTAACTTTACCTTGAATATACTTAGAAGTCTGGAATTCTCGGGAAGGGGCATCTACATATATGATGCTTTATTTTAATACTTTAAAATGTTTGTGGCCCATTTCAGACAGAAATCTTTTAAATATATAACAATGGTTCTGCTGTCTCTTTCCAGAAAGCCTGCTAACGTAGCCTCACCCTGACTCGTGCTCCTTGCCCCGGGTCCAGAATCACCCTGAGCTGTGCCTGTTGCATGGGCAGAGCCATACGGACCCTAACCACCTTGAGGGCCCACTCTGCTTTCTATACTTTTCTTGCTGACATCTCTGTGTCAGAACAGACTTGGGTTAACTCTGGGACCTTGGGAAAGTTACTAGTTATCCTTTTTGAGCCCCCATTTACTTCTCTGTAAAATAACTGGGAGAAGATCAAATGAGACCATATACATAAAATAGCATAGTACTTGAGCTATGTGCATGCCCAGCACATTCTAACTGCTGAATGTTCCCGTGCCATGGAGGCAAAGGTGCTGGCTGGCAGTGGGGAGTGGCCGTTTCTTACTGCTGTTAGTGGGCTTCCCTCCTTTACTCCTAATCTACCTGTTAACTTGCCCTGTGTGAGAACCTAGCTAGCCAAGCTTATGCGCATTGAAACTAAAAGTCACAGGCTCTGAGGTGGGGAATCTCCTTGGGATGAAGTGCAAGGACTTTGTGGCCCCCAGGGTGCGTGTGCTATGGGGCTGGGGAGAAGGCTCCGTGAGGAAAGCAGTGAGGCCACTGGCCTTGCCTCTGCAGCAGGTGTACCCAGATTGCAGCACCCTTCTTTTGGGAAGACTCAGAAAGGCCTATTACCTTGTTTCTTCTACACTGTTTGGGGTGTGCTGCTCTCTGAGATGACAGCAAAGCAAAGACCCTGCTTAGCTGGAGGGAGGCTGCTGGGCTTGGGGAACAATGCCATGCACAGAGGGGACCCGGGGGTCAGGCCTGTGCTAACACGGTGCTTCCACAGGGCCCTTGTGAAGATGCAGATTGCCAGGTCCCACCCCAAACCTACTTTACCAGACTCTTTCTTGGGGCCCAGAGGCCTGGGAGTCTGTATTTTAAGCCCCTTGGGTGATTGTGATAAGCAGCCATGTTTGGAAACCTCAGGACAAGAACAGTCTTGTATCCAGGGCTTGTGCTTGGCCTTGTGGAGCCAGCATTTGGACCAGGCCCCACAAGCAGGTGGAAGGTGCTTCAGAAAGGAAGTCAGAGAAGCTTGGGATTGCTGGCCAGAATGATACTACTTTAGGTTCTTTCCTGTCCAAGTTAATGTGTTGCCCCTTCCATCAGGTAAGAAAGCCCAGGTAAGTGCATGCACTAGAGAGACCTAGCGAGACTTCTAGCTGCGTGAGCCTGGGCAAATTACTTCACCTCTCTGTGCCTAAGTTGCCTCTCCTGAGAAATGGGCCCACAGCTAGCATGAACATGAAATGAGCTGAACACAGTGCTTGGCACCTGGTAGGATCTCTGTCCATCAGCACCCTGAGCAGGCTGCATTTGCTGGCCCATGGCTCTGCAGATCCTCTGAAAGAGAACCCCACCTGGGAGGTGAGCAGGGGAGATGACCGGCCTCGGGAAAGCACAAGCTCCCGTCCTCACCATGGTGTGGTTCAGGTGCGGAGTGCCTCGTGGCAGGAAGAAAGGGGCTGTCAGAGCATGCGTTTGAACATTGGACTTCATTGTTACGTATCTATAACTCTACCTCTCATGTGCTTCATTGTTGCATTTATCCACGTAGTTCCAATCTCCGCGACTAGACTGTAAATTCCTCAAAGACAGGAATCTGACTGCATGGCCAATAAATCCCAGGAAATATCCAGTACAGCCCTGAGATGCAGAAGTGTTAGACACTCCCAATGTTATTTTTGCATCCAGTTGAACTGATTACAGTTGAGAATGGAATTATTGGTCTGAAGAGCGAAGGATTAAGTGATGTTTGCCCTGGCAGCCCTCTGAGAGCTTGGGTTCATGGCCACTGTAATTAATCCTCCAGCCATTGCCAGAGTATCTGCTTCTGTCAAAGGTCCTGGAGGCCAGGGATGGAGGAGGCCTTGGGGTGGAGTGTGGGCATGCCCACCACCCTCCACAGAGCCCTGCAGGCATGCAACCTGTCACTGTGGCCACCACTCTCATGTCCTGAGCAGCCCCTCCCCTTCTCTCAGCCAGGAATGCCCTGCCCCATCCTCCCTCTGGTTTGGACCTGCCTCTTCAGCCCTGAGTCACTTGGCTCTCTCTTTCTCTTCTGTCACGGTGTTCACTCCTTGGCTACTTAGCATTTCTCCCTCATGTCACCGTGTATCTTTCATCTAATCCTCTGGACGCTCTCAGGACATTCCACTGTCCTTAAACACAGGAACTGTATCTACTATTGGTTTTCTTTGGGGGCCAGCGCAGGGCATGTGCTGGGCTGAGAACACCGTGAGTCCTCTCTGACTGCCAGAAAGGGCTGCTGCTTCCACAGCATATCAGCGTTTCCTCAGGGCCTCCTGCCCTCAGGGCGAGTCCTCAGGCCTTAAAGCTCTAGACAAGACACAGCAAGACAAACAACACACACAGCTTCCTCGGCAGGCTTTGGTAAGAGCCAGCAGGGCTCACTGGGGGGGTTGTGGTGTAATGCCCCTCAGACACATTTCTCCACTCAATCTGGACCTTCAAAGATCACCAGTATATAGCTTCGTCCATGGTATGAAGGGATACCAATAAAAGGTTGGAAATGAACTTGCAAAAGGAAAGGGAACTGATATGTAGTTAAAACTTGCTCTCTGCTAAGCAGTTACACATATTGTCGCACTTAGTTCACACACAGCCCCTTGAGGTGGGTTTTGTCTCAGAACTCAGGCATCGTTTGTGGACAGAGCCTGGTACATGGTGGGTGAAGCGTATTGAACTAAGTTTAAATGCCATAAAATCTAGAATATGCGGCTGACCCCAAAGAGAAACATCTGCAAATGCTTACTTACCTCCACGGGATTAAAAATCACTGCCGGCACAGCTATGTTGTTCATTTTTGCAGCTTTTTGGATGATAGCTTCAGCCTCTCCAAACCTTCTCTGGGATATCAGCCACCGAGGAGATTCAGGAATAAACCTAGAATTCATTTTTAGTGGTTTATAATTTTCCACAATGGCAGGGTTTGAGACTATTAACTGTACGTTGGCCCCCGAAAGAATTTCTATTTTGTAAAAGTCTTCTGTCTTTTTAAAGAAAATCAGGGGACCGAGGCCTCATACAATTTCTGTTGATTATAAGAATAAATAAGAGCACCTTTGAGTTTCAAAGTTCTGATCAAATCACAAGACCGATCATCAGCTGTGCTGGAGGCCAGGCGGGGACTGCGAGGGCTGCCCTTGGCAGTACGTGCGTCTCAGCCAGGGCAGCTGGAGAGGGCCGCCGGAGACCTAACAGTCAAGGATGGCTCATGAGAGAAGCACAGCCTAATGCCTTCCACGTGTCCATCCCCAGGAGGCTCCCGGGTGTCCCAGCTGGAGATGCTCTCAAGTTTACTGTGGAAAGGACGGCTTCTGCTGCGGTCTGAGGAGCAGGCGGGTACGGGGACGCCAGCCTGTGCCTTGTCCTTGTGAGTGGCAGCAGATTCCCAGGCCAGGGAGTGCTCAAACCAGTTTTTGGGAGACACCCAATGTTGTTTTTCTTTAAATAAAGGTCTAGAAAGTTAATTTTTTAAATTATACAATCTTTCTGCAATTTAACTGATGATCAAACACAGTTGACTTCTCTTTGCTAATTTTTCTTTTTCCTATTTTTATTTCTTTGTAGCATGCACATATTAACTTACATTTTTTTTAATTCTTTCCTAATTTTTATGTCTTAGAATCACTTAGCCATTCTTCTGCCAGCTCTTGTTTTCCTTACCTATTTCACAGTCGTTAGTGATCCTAGAAAGTAAGTTCGATATAGCAGATTTGGAGGCTCCCTATGACTAAGTGGGCTCCTCCAGAGCCTCGGTACCAGTGCTTTCAAGCAAAACACGACTCAGGCAGTGGCAAAGCCCCCGCGCCCCGCCCCAGCCTGCTCACACCGCGGCTGAAAACTGAACCCGGTTTGCGCTTCTCCAGATGCGCCCTTACTGGGCCCCTGTAGCGGCTGCGATGACGTGAGGTCACTGACCTTCCGTAATCAGGGATGGGCGGTCCAGGACAGTAGCCCCTAACTGCACGTGGCTTTGAGCTAGTGTGACAAGGGCGACTGAGGAAATGGATTTCCAATTTTATTTCTTTTAATTTAAAAAGCAGCGTGTGGCTCGTGGCTACCGTCACAGTGCGGAATGAGAGATCTCACTGCACAGTCACTGCGTGCGTCTGGGCGCTTCTACTTCCGAGCAGTATCCTTCCGCAGCCAGGCTGTTCTTTACAGTGTCCCGCCTTCCTCACTGCAGGTCCTGAGGGCCACCGCCGCGTCAGGTGCCCGCTGTTTAGGCAGCTCGATATCGCGAGACTCTCCCCAGGTTGCATCTGAGGGCTCCTTCCCCGCCCCGAACCCGTACTCGGTACTCCGCTCGTGCTTGTGACCGCTTACTGCCAAGCCTTCTTTATAAACGGAACTTGGGGTGTAAAACATTCCAAGCCTCTTGCAGTGATTCTGTGTACGTTCCCCTCCCGTTTCCAGCCCGCGTACTCAGGCCGACCGTAGGCCCAGCCGTAGAACGCCCCTGTGTTTCGGTTCATGAAGAATCAAGTCTAGCCCGTCGTGTGAAAAGGCAGTGGAGCACCAAACGGGGCTGCCCACAGCAGGCTCTCTGTGGTTTCAATCCAGAGGGAACAGGGCGGGGTGTTGCTGGAGAGCCTCTGTCCCACACTGAGCAGGCATCCCCCACATCGTCCCAGGCCAGGGGACAGAAAAGCATCGCTTCAGGAAGGCCCACCCGTAAGGATGAGATGTTTGGAATAAAGCGATTTTGTTCTTAGAGGAAAATGATAAAACTGTTGTTTTAACCTTTTAGGGCGAGCATGCTGCTGGCCCCGGGGCTGCCTCTCTCTGGGTGGTGCTGACCCGGGACAGTGTGTCCACAGCCAGGAGCACTCCCGGCCCAGCCATGTGCAGCAGAGAAAGAACTCTCCTTAGGGCAAGAGTGAAGCTGCTCCTCAGGGGATGGGCCTTCTTGGCTGGAAACTCAGGGGCTCACCCATTAGAGTTCATCCTTGCTGTGCTAGTTGGTCCCAAGGCAAACAGCCAAGGTCCACAAATTAAAATCCCAACTAATCTCTTCCAGTCAATTAGAACACTTCTCTCTCTCTCTCTCTCTCTCTCTCTCTCTCTCTCTCTCTCTCTCTCTCATAGAATTATATTACTATAAGTTTGATTAGAACATATTTTAGAAGTACTGGCCTCTTATGCCAAAAGGACAACTAGAGCCAGGGAACATCAATGACAAATCATTCATCTGAAGAGGCAGAAAATAACCTACGAATAATCTTATCTTGTGTCTTCAGAGACCCTTGGGTCACCAACACCATTTATACTAGATTCAGTCAGCCAGGACATTGTGGGGAGGGTGTGATGATGACGGTGAGGATGAGGAGGAGGATGACAGTGACTCTCATTCCAGAAAGCTCCCTGATCTTGTAGATCTGGGGCACCTGCTTCCCTTGGAGGCAGAGCTGTGTCAATATGGCATGCCCTCCTTCACCAGAAGCTTTCCTGACTCTCGGACCAGGTTCCAGAGGAAACCTCTGAATCTGAATCGTAGCTAATCTTTAACGCACTGTCTCTCAAATTCCAGGGCAGTAAGGAAAAAAAAGGGCTCCCTCCCCTTATACATATCCATGCCAAAAATGGACGCTGGTAAACCACAGCTGTCTTAGAGGTCGTTAAAGGACAGTAGCTTGGAGTGGTTCCAACCTCAGACATCTGGTCCAACAAGGCCAAGATGAACTACCTATCAGCCTCTATGGCTGCCTAACACTCACAGTAAGATAAGAACCTTCTAGGCCACTTCCCAGGCAGTGTGTCAAAAGGACAGAGCAACCATGAGTGTGGACCTGTGAGTTCCAAAAAATGATCCAAGAAATGTTCATTGTGTGTAAGCGGGTAGAGATCAAACAGTTCAGTAAAATCAGTCCCTGCTGGGAGATTTGATTTTGATATCATGAAAGCAAACCAAAAAGAATTAGAGAGAGAGAGAGAGCAAGCCAGAGCCAGTAATGGAAGAAATCCCCTTTCCTCTTGCTTAAATGTGAAAAACCAAAGAAATGGGGAATCCCCAAAAAGAGGGCACAGATGAGGCCTTATTGCCCTTTCCTTAATCTGTTCTGTCTCCTGAAATCTCCCACGTACCACAGTGCGTGGAACTGGGGTTGTGTCTGCGGTCTTTGGGGTTCCCATACTGATGTGTCCAAATTGGGTTGGAGGGTTGAGAGTGGAGAGAAAATTTCTATAACAACTCATTCAACAAAAGTAATTCTCTCATCCTTCCAGACAAAGCGGATAAACAGGCATACCTTAAATGCCTGAGGACAGAAACTATGTTAGTTCAGTCCCTAAGGAGAAAGAGATATCCTAGAGAGAAAAGTGTCAAAAGAGCAGGGGAATGCAGTTCAAAACAAAAAAACTTGGCAGGACCATCTCCACAAATGAAAACAACCACCGACAGCGACGAGAATGGGGAGAGCCTGGGGTGAGAGAGCTCCGGGCCTCCTGAGAAAGGTGCTTTATGGGACAGTGGAGAATTAAACCCCAGCACACAGGCCGGCCTCAGCCAGCTCCAGGGAGAGGGCACTCGGTCAGCCCCAGGCTCTGGGTCCCAGGCTGCGCTGGCCTGCAGCAGGGGGCTGTCTGGGGCGCAGCCACACTCACCACCACAGCGGGACGCACAGCACCCCCGGCACGGTCAGCGCCAGCAGCAGCATCCGCCAGTCTCTGATGAAGTAAGCAAACAGTGGCAACAGCATGTAGCCAAGTGCAAAAAATGTGCACACTCCTAACGTAGAGAATATAATACGCACTGACTTGCCAAGAATTTCTGTGCCTGTGCAAAACAAGGGAGGAATATTAGCATTTTAACTTACTTCAATATTGGCTTTTCACATCATTACCTGGCAGAGTTCAAACTGTAGTCACTCAGGAAGAGAAAAGGTGTTTGCCTCGTGACCTGGGGCAGGTGCAGTCAGGGCGGAGGAAGGTGGGAAGGGACTCAAGACTTAACACCTTATGGAAGGTAAGTTTTCATGAGATTTTAAAGGAGCTCTAGATTTTTTTCTTTAAAGATCATTTTATGACATGGAAATAGCAGCCCCACCCCAGGAAGTAACCTCTTTGGGGAATGCCACATTTCCAAAATCCGAGCCCCAGGGTGGGGGACAGAGAAGTGTTCCAGGAGACAGTGGAGGCTCTTCTGAGGGGCTCTGAGGGGTAACAGTGAATTAGCTTTCCCACGATTCTCTGCAGGACAGATACAGACCATGGCCTGTGGGGAAACAGTGGAGTGGTCACAATTACTGGGTGAGGCTAGGACACTCTTCCCTACCCTTGAGCCCTGGGATCCAGCCGGCTCTGCAGGTGCACAGAGCAGGCCCCAGGGCTCAGGGGTTGGATTCCCGTGAAGCCACATCGTGCCCAGGGATCCGCCCCAGGCAGACCTCAGCCATTCAGACCAAGAAAAGAAAGCAGTGTTCTGCTGGCCTGCTGGTGACAGCCCTGGAGCTGGCCACACACCCAGGGAACTCCACAGAGCTTTCCCAGAGACCACAAAGGCCCAAGACTGCTTGGGGTGCGGGGCCCTGTTTTGGGAAAGGACACTCAGGGGGTTGTGCGTCCTGCATTGCTCAGCGCCATGACGGTTGGGGCTCGGCACTGTTCTTCCAGAGAATCCAAGAACAAGCTCCTTCTGTTGTCACAGAGCTCCAGGCCCTTTCCACAGAGTCCATTGGTGGTCCCTGGAGGTGGAGACCTGGGCTATGGCAACCACTCCGCCTTTTGTTTGAGGTCTTGCCACCACGACAGAGAAGGAGCCCAGGGCATACAAAGCAGACCATTCAAACGCTATTCAGATTGGCTTTCAAGAGAGATTTTCTCAATCATGTTTATATGCCCTGGGCACAGGCTAAGGAATAGGGCTAATTCCAGAGAAGCAGTAAAATGACCACTTCGGCTGGTCTCCCATGCTCACCGCCTACCTGTTCCCATCCCCACCCGCCTCTTTGTCACTCAGTGAGACTGAGCCACGTGGCTCCCTCTGCAACAGCCATTTCTGAAACCAGACTGATTGAAGCTGCCAGTACTGAGTGCCTCTCCCATCCTAGACTGCGGACACGAGACCCCACTCCCCAGGGCATCTCTCAGCCTCTAAGTTCATTTCCAAGGATCAGGCCTGGCCTCTTTGAGGACCGTGAATGTTATTTCCAGGTTTTTCTTACCCGGTTAATGACCTTCCTACCTCTCCATAGGAAGACTGCCCCTGCCACGGTTTCTAGACACTTTGCCTGTAGCGGCTGCGATTTGGGGTTGGATGGGGGTGCTGTATTCCTAAAGAGAGACTCAGAATGAAGCGGCAGAGGGCTGGGTTGTAGAAAACAGAAAGCGCACAGGACCATGTGAGAACCTCGTAGAATTGTGAGGCCGAGGGAGCTCCCTCCTGGCCCCATGACCCTGATGAGAGAGAACAGTTATGCCGCTGGGTTCCTGGATAAGCTCCCTCTCTAGGGGCAGGCCCCGGGCCGGAACAGAGTTGTTCTCATTTGGCTGAGTAATCACTGGGGACAGGAGCTTCGTAAATCTAGCTCTCTGCCTCTCTGTGTGTGGAGCAGCATGGATGGCACGAACCTGAATAGTTCTTGTTAGCATGCCTTCCTGCTCTCTGACTTTGGATAATCACGTTCCTCAACCATCATCATCATCGTCATCATCACCATCATCTTCATAGCTAGCATATTTTTTTTGAGTAGGTCCTTTGTGCCAGGTCCAAGACTAAGGGTTTACCTATATTGTGTGTTTAAAACTGCGTAACAGTTATAGAAGAATATTGCTTCTATTTTATATGTAATCAGTTGATATTTAAAGAGATGGAACAAATTGCCTAAATTCATACTTAATAAATGGGGCGGCCAGGAGTGTACATTTGACCTGTGGGTAACGTCTAGAAAAAGTCACCTGGAGGCAAAGCCTTGGCCCCGTCATGCAGTCTTTCAACTGAGGTTCCAGTGGAGACACGTGTGGGAGATCGGTGAGGCTGTATGTATTATCCCTTTTCCAGGCATGAGGATTTGCATTTTCTTTGCCCGGGCTGCTCGTTGAACCAGCTGGAGACCCACCAGCCTGAGGAACGCTGAGAGAGGAGCCCGATTCCTGTGGACCTTCGCTGGCCCAAAGCTGCTGCAAGCTTCCCGAGTGGCTGGCTGGCCAGGCGACGGGTGCAGGGGGTGGGGCTCAGGCTGTGCTGGCTGGGGCTCCTGTCCTGGCCTCTTCTACACCCAAGGCTTTTGCTCCCAGGGCAAAGCCCAGTTGGCCTTAGTCTGGTTGGGCCTCTGAGAGTCCCTGGGGAGTAAAACTCTGACATCTAAGCCAAAGGAGCAAGTTCTGGCCAGAGTGTTTGCCCACTGCCTGTCACCACCAACTGAATCTGAGCGCTCCCCCCATGAGGGAGTGACTCAGAGAGGGCCAGGCTCACTCCCACACCGAGCAGGCCCCTCTGTGGTGGTCAGTCACGGGTGCGGTCAGGGGCCACCGAACCCATTCCACAGGGCGAGGAAACAACCCAGGTGTCCACCCGCTGCTGCGTGGATGGACAGGCTGTGGTATGTCCATACACTGGGAGGTTGATTCGAGCTACATCACAGACAGACCTTGAAAATATTCAGTGGAGGAAGTCAGTCACAAAGGCCTCATGTTGTGTGATTCCATTGATCAGGAATGTCCAGGACAGACAAACCCATAGAGACAGAAGGTACGTTAGTGGTTGCCAGGGCCGGGAAAGAGGGGATCAGGGAGTGTCTGCTGACAGGCCCGGGGCATCTTTTGGGAGCGAGGAAAACATTCTGGAGTTAAACAAGAGTGGATAGCTGTGCAACTTTGTGAGTGTGCCAATAACCATTGAATTTTAACCTTCAAAAGAGTGAGTATTATGATGTGGAAATTATATCTCAATTTGAAAACATTTAAAAAATATGTGACTGATAAAGGCTACATAATGAAGATAGTTCAATTTTAATTTTGCCTGAGTGTCTGGGTCGCCAGAGTCATCAAGGAGGATGCAATCCCCGCATACTTATCAGAAGGGAGGACACACCCGGACAGCAGGGGAAGCAGAGCTTTAAACAGTCCAGCACACTGGTGCCCGCGCTGCATAGGAGGCTGATGTCAGGAGCCCCGGGGGGTGACCAAGTCAATGAGTCAGTCAACACCGCAGGGAGTTGTGTGTGAAGTAAATGCAAACAGCTAGTTATGAGGGATGCTGCTGGCATTTTACCCAAAAGCCTGTGGACAGGCTGAAGGCCTTATTTCTGGGAAACAGCAGAAGATTGTGCTGCCTGCTGGAGTGCGGGGAGGGTCCGTGTCCTTGGTCCTGAGTGTCATGCCCTCCTAACCCAGAGGCCCTCAGGCAGTGCCCCCACTTCCAGGTGTGGCCACTCTCTGTCCCCGCGGGCAGCACTGCTCCCTCCATCCCTCTCCCGGTCTTCCAGGACTCTGGCAGTTTTGTTGAAAAGCAGAGCAAGGAGGGGACCCACTTTGGCACCACTTAGTGGAAGGGGTAAGCCAGTTTCCTGAATGACTGTGGAGACCCTTAAACCTGGGGGTCATCACTATACAGTCTTGCCAGCTCACCCCGAGAGCCAGAGGGCAAAGTGAAGGCCTGGACAGAACCTGGTGGCCCAGACCCCGGGCGTGGGATCCTTTAGTCAGAACCAGGAACTCACTGCATCGGCCCCCAAACGCCAGGGGGAGCTGCTGTGCTGCTACAGGGAATCATCCAGCCTCAGCCTTCCGTGCCGCTGGCCCATTGCCCCTCCGCTGCCCCAGTGCTGATGCAGGAGCCCAGCTGGTCCAGCGGGAGGGTGGTTTTAGTGACTCTCTTAAGAAGGTTTAGACCTCAGACTCCAAAAGAAAGGGTCCCCTACCAGGACACTGGGTCAGCAGCTTCCCTCAGAGCACAATGGAGTAAAACTACAGCCAAGGAGGCTTCCAGAGTACCCTACAGCAGCTCTGCCCCAAGCTGATGGGGTGCCTGCTGCGCCCAGCGCCCTGCTTAGCTTAAACATCTGGGCTCTGACTGATCTATGATCTTACTCCCCACCCTCCCGCTGCTCAGCACGGGCAGCAGGGTGGGGACTAGGTTGCAGTGTCAGGGACAGCTGGGCAGGACTTGCCTGCAGGGGGCTTAGGGTGGGCTGTCCTCATCCACTCTTACTGGGGAGGCTCCATGGCCCCGGAGGCACCCTGTGCCACTGGAAAGGCCGGTCTCAACACCACCGCCCAGCAGAACCTGAGGGACCCAGCACCTGCCCCACCTGGCTGCCAATCCACCAACTGGGCTTCCCGGCTTCAACACAGTTCTCTGCCTTCTACCTCGGACGGTCCTTTCCATCCCCTTAAAGGGGTGTGCTGGCCTCTGGCAGAGCCCTCTGTTTTGAGGGGCCTGTTTAGTCTCTGGTGAGTCTCTGGCCCAAGCAGAGCCATGCACTGAGTTTCAGGTACTGAGTTTCAGGCACCAAAAGGAAGACAGATTCTGGGGGATATAGACCATGGGAACGATAGGCTTTGCTGTGCCCCCAAATCCTGTGTCCTGGGGGCCAACAGGCATCAGGAGGTTGCAGCTTCTGCCCCAAATCCCTTCAGCCTCTCCAGGTTCCTGCACCACTGCCCTGAAGCTCTCTGGGTCCTCTACACAAATGACCTTCTTCACAGAGAACTTGCCCCTCCTTCCCCTACAGAGGCCCCTCCCACTGCAGCCTGTGGAGAGCAGCGCTATCTGCCAGGTCCACGTGGCTTCAGCTCGCTCTCCCACTCCTCTCTTCAGGCGCTGAGGCTGGGCCCGTGGCAAGGGGTTCTTCACAAATGATTAAAGGGGTGGAATTTGAATAATTCCCTCTTGGCAACCTGACAAAGGGTGTACACATCCTCAACTAAGAAAACACCGTATTTCCAGAGCCAGTGAGTCATCCAGACTTCTAGAGGTGATCAGAGTCATCTTACCAGATCCAGACTTGAGGTGAGAAGCCTCATTAGCCTTTCATTAAGGGAGCACTGCTAACAATGACGCTGTGACCATGTGGACAAACTGGGACAGCACTGAGCCCACGGGGATATATTATCACACAGACATTATGGGATTTGGGGTCTATTGTCCCAGAGGTGCCCTTCAATTCCCCTCCTCTCACCTGTTCAGAGAGAGCAGGCGGGCTCAGGGAGCACGCTGGGGACTCTTACTTCTGGGGACTCCCTGATCCACTTTCCTGGAGTTCACCTCCCTTCCCCCACGGAAAAGCTGGTGGGTCCCCCTCATGCAGCCTGCTGTTTCCAAAGCAAGGCTGCTGCCGGGAGACAGGACTCCTATCAGCAACTCGGCTGGTCCTGCACATGACTGATAGGCCCTCAGGGTGGGCTCTGACTCGGGGTGAGAGCAGATCTGCGCAGCGATGGCGGGCTGGCACTGAACTCCTGCCTGACACCTGCGTACCGGCCACACCAGCTCTCTGAAGCCCCTCCCTGGGCCCTGCACAGCTGGCGGGAACACTCTCCGGCCCTGTCTGAGGCAGATAATCTCGAGCTTTCACAGCTCAGCTCACACACATCCTTGGACCATCCCTCCCCGAAGACCCCCACTCACTGCCTCTGTCAAGCCCTGTGCTCCTGAAATGTGTCTCAGTTGTAACGTGGCTGGTTCCCACCACCACACTTCAGGACCCGGTGCAGAGCCAGTGCCCCGTGAGCATGTGCCTTGCCTGTGGCAGGATCAGTGAACCTGTGGCTACAGTTCCCCTCACCCCCCACGTGCCCAAGGCTGGTCAAATGTTGGAAGCACAGTTCACAGGTTGAGGTGCTTCCTTCTGTGCTGAGTAAAAGCACTCCCTGTGCCCCCTTCAGTGCCCCCCGTTCTTCCTGGGCCTCTCAGAGGGTTGGAAGGAGAAGTCCCAAGGATCAAAAGGCATTCCTACCTAGTATGAAGGCCACCACGTAATTGGAGATCTGGCCCATGCCGACGATGACAAATAATACAGTGAACATCTCCCAGTTGACGGAGAAAATCTGCAGGAAGCTGAAGCCAGTCTGCACGGCCATGGTGGCGAAGAGGACATTCTTCCTGCCAAACCTGCAGAGCACACACAGCACAGAGCATGGCACGCAGCAGTCACAGTACAGTGTGTGGCATGAGCCGGCCACAGCGGCACTGTGGACATGGCCGCGGTGCAGAGTCAAGCATCGCCTCAGACTTTATTTTCAGGGCTAAGACAGACTTTTCTCCCTGCCATTCTCATCTGCCCAGGTTCTTCCTTGGTGAGGCCTCAGGCATCCATGTGCCCTGGAGTTACCCCGAGATTCTAAGCCTCCCGTGGGAGCACCATATCTCAAAAGCACAGAGCAGGGGGCACGTGGAAATCTCTTTAGAACGGGCCACAGGCAGAAGCTGTCGCCACATTTCTGGAAGGCAAATGCAATGCAAAGGGCAGGCCCATTTGATAGCAGCAGTGTGGGAATTCTGCCAGTCCAGCACAAGACTCCCTCCGTGGCCATGGTCTTCAACCCTGGCTGACTTGGACTCACCTTCAAAATCACTGCTGCTCGCACCCGCCTCCCGAGATCCCAATTGTCTGGGATGCAGTTTGGACATTGGGATTTAAACAGTTTTTCCAGGTGAGTCTAATGTGCAACCAATATCGCAAACCACTGCCCTATGGAATGTGTATCTTCCAGCAATATCCATCAGTGACCCTGTAGTTGGCTTAAGTCGCAATTTCACCTTCTGATAGTGACCGATGGGCGGAAGGGAGCACAGGTGTGAGCAGTCTCCCGCCCCATTTTCCAAACTCAGGTCTCAGGTTGTTGAGCTTGGGGTCCCACTGGGCTTGGTAACTGGGGGAGGGAACTCCACTCCTCTGGGAAGTCTCCTCCAGCCCTGGCATTTAGCACTCCCACCTTCTCATTCTGGTCCCCACAAAACACCCAGGGGCCAGTGGGGCACTTCTCCCAGAGCCCTGCTGCCGCCTCCTCCAGACTGTGGGCTCTGGGTCCCCCGGACCCTGCTCTGTGGCCCCTCCGTACCGGTCAGGGGCCTGACCCACAGCTGAGGTGGGTGCACAGTTAGCAAGTGGTGCTTGCTGTCTGGCCCCAGTTGGCTGATGGCTGCTTGTGGACGGATCACGTCACCCAAGATGGGGTGGGGTGGAGGCAGTGGTGACAGCAGCATGCCTTTTCTGAGGGGTTTGGTGATAGGACGACTCCATTTTCCGGTGGGTTCCGGAAAGGGGCTGAGGGCAGGAAGAAAGGACACATCATGGTTCCTCCTGTCACTGACTCGTGGCCCGAGGGGCCTCCCTTTCTCTGGAGAAGAAAGGGAGAAGGAGCCCTCTTGCACCTTTCCTCCCTCCCAGCCTCCTTACCTGTCTGATAGCTGCCCAGACACGAAGGAGCCCAGGAGCACGCCCACGAAGAACAGGGAGGAGGTGAGGGGCGTCTTCCAGTCTTCTTCACACACCAGGTTCCACTGTCAGGGAACACAGCATGACACGTGAGCCCAGCTCCCCGACAGGCCCAGCCCCAGCCCCAGGGAGTGTGAGGAGTGGCCAGGGCAGGCTCACCTTTGCTCAAAGGGCACACACCTCACAGCCCCGGGGGTGGACTGCTGACTGCCTCTTCCTGGGGCAGCCACTCTCCTCCCTGAAACACCCCTTCCCCTTCTGAGAGGGAGGGTGACGCCTGTGGCTCCGCTCACTTCGAACAGCGAGAAGTGAGCTGAGGCCCAGGCTGCGATGGGATGGGTGGCCCTCGGCTGCAAAGCAGCATGAAGCAGAGGTGGCATGTCTGCTTCAGAAGGCGTCAGAGGTGTCACAAACTCCTGAGGGGCCAGGCGGGGGCAAGGTCACTTGGTCCAGGTATAAAAGTTTCCTCTGCTTTGTTGAAAAGGGCACGTGATCTCAGTGGGGTCTGTGGTTTTGTGCTCTAAGTAGACTCCACTGGAGAACCTGCTGCTCCCTGGTCCATTCACACCAGAATCCAAGCTTGGGGCCCCATCCAGGGCACCATCCAGGACGCCACTGAGCTGCGGTAACTTATCTCCCATCTACACTCCTCCACCCTCCTTCCCAGAAGGGTAGGCCCTCCCATTGCCCAAGGCACACAGGCTGCTGTAGTCCTAATAAGAACCTACTGGTTGCTCCATAAAATGAGGCTTTCTACCAGGCTTCCATTTCCCCCCAGTTCTTAAATCAATTTAGCAAAATCTCAAAGGAGGTTGCAAAAATTTCAACATATTCAATGAACTTCTATTTATTTTTAAAAAGATTTTATTTATTTATTTTTAGAAAGAGGGGAAGGGAAAGAGTAAGAGAGGCAGAGAAACATCAATGTGTGGTTGCCTCTTATGCGCCCCCTACTGGAGACCTGGCCTACAACTCAGGCATGTGCCCTGACAGGGAATCGAACTGGTGACCCTTTGGTTCACAGGCCTGCACTCAATCCACTGAGCCACACTAGCCAAGGCTATTTTTTTAAAGATTTTATTTATTTATTTTTAGAGAGGGAAGGGAGGGAGATAGAGAGAGAGAAGGAAACATCAATGTGCGGTTGCTGGGGGTCATGGCCTGCAACCCAGGCATGTACCCTGACTGGGAATCGAACCTGCAACACTTTGGTTCGCAGCCCGCGCTCAATCCACTGAGCTACGCCAGCCAGGCCAAGGCTATTTTTTAAAAAAATAAACAAATGCCAATGAGTATGGGTCAGGAGGTTGTTGAGTGTGGCCAGATAACTGGTTCAGAGGAAAAGACTCCCTGCCACCCACCCCCACGTCCCATCCCAGCTCCACTCAGTGATGGTGCTACTTCCAGGGTGTTTGCAAGGCAATTCAGTTCTTAATCCTCACAACTTCCCTGAAACAGATTTTTTTTTAAATCCTGAGGATATCTTTATGGACAAGAGAGAGAGAGAGAGACATCAATATAACAGAGAAAACATTGATTGGTTGCCTCCTATACATGCCCTGACTGGGGATCAAACCCTCAACCTTGTGGTACATGGGATGATGCTGTAACCAGCTGAGCTGCCCAGTCAGGGCTGAAACAGACTTAAACATGAATTCACATATTTCCATCATACCTCGTTCTGCAGCAGAGAGAGGTATGTGTGAGGATGCGTGGAAGAGGAAGGTGTGAAACGAAAAGCCAAGGGAACTGGGGCAGACGGAAAGCACAGGGGAGGAGGGCCCACACAACAACCAGGCGGAGGGGCAGCTGGCCACCAGCTGTCCTGCCCTGGACCGCAGTGTACAGTGAACTCATTCTGCAGAAGCTCAGTGTTCCTCAGAACCGAGACCTGGAGAAGCCCCTCCTAGACACTTTCTTCCACGGAGGGGTTGCTGTGATGTTGAAGCCAAAGTCCTTGAGGACACCCCTGTCCTAAATAAAGACAGCAGCCAGATTCCTGAGGCGGCCTCTCCTGGTGCCGCTGGTGCTGGCCACAGGCGGGATGTCCAGGCACAGCTGTGCAGAAGAAAACCAATGTGGCCCAGGAACTGGGCTCTCCACCCTTCAGGCACAACCCGAGGAGAACTCGGAGACCCTGCTCGGAGTAGAGTTGCGTCACCCAGGGACCCCTGAATGGGGCTCAGGGAAAGGTCACAAACCCTCCAGAACTGTGTGGCAAGATTCATGGGCCTGGCCAGCCTAGGGATTGGGAAAGGTAAATAGGACGTGCGCCTGAATAAATGGCCACCCACTTCCCAAACTCACTGGCCAGTGTCAGAAAAGGCTTGGGATTTGTTCCAACACAGCGAGATGAGCAATGGAGACTCCAGAGCCTCCTGATGTGGACTGTGACCCATTTTGCAGAGGAGTAAACTGAAGTTCTGAGACTGGGGCTTGTTGGGAGCCATAGCAAGTAAAAGGGCATGCAAGTTACCAGCTCAGGTCTCTGAACTCAAACTTGTAGACGTCTCCAGCTTCGGACATGAACTCCAAAGGCCAGACAAAATGAACTTACTAAATTCCTTTCCCTACACTTTGTCAAGGTGTGTGACTGCAAGACGAGGGGTAGGAGGCCTCCACCAGAGCCTCCAGCTCCAACGGAGCCCAGATCTCAAGCTCGGCAGAAGTATCCGAGGGTCCATTATCGATCTTCACCATTCCGTCTGCTGTAAAGCAGAAAAGCTCCTCCAAAGATAATGTGGTCTCTCTCCTTCATGGTTTTTTGAACTTTTTCTGTCAGAACCCTGCCTTAGAGGAGAACAGATAAGAGGTAAAGACAGAAAGAAAAGAGGAAGGCCGTCAAGTGTGGTGCTGGGCATTGCATGAACAAAGGTCACCTGCAGGACTGGCCATGTAATTTGTAGGTGGCATGCAAAAGTGAAAAGTCAGCAACCCTCTTGTTCAAAAATTAAGAATTTCAAGACATCGCTATCAGGACATTAAAAGCAGGCATGGGCCCTGTGTGACTGCACAGGTTGCTTGCCCGTGAAGTCTGCTCAAGCAGTGGCTCGGGCTTGATCCCTTTGGGGACTGGAGTGGGGACAGCGTCCTGAGCTGGGGTGCTGGGAAGGGTGAGGTGTGGGCCAGCTCACCATCGTTCTCTCTCTGGAGGCCGTGTAGCCCTGGCTCGAGGTCCTCCTCCCTCTGGGAAGAACAGCTCAAGAAGCCTTGTCAACGGCACGTTTCACAGGAGGCGACCGTATGTAGTGTGTGCATGGCAGCCACCTGCCCAGACCCCTGCAGGCTGCCCTCGCCCTTCAGAGGTCCCATTCCTGCCTGCCTGCAGGGGAAGCCAGCTGGACCTCATGGCTCCCCGTGGTTTGCTCCAGGGCCAGGTCCTCTCCTGGGGAGTTGCTGTGCCCAAGGAGTCTTTTTAGAAAGCTGTGAAGGGCCTGGTAATAGGACACAGGATTGGCAAACAAAGTTCCAGCTGGGGCCGGCAGAGCCACAGTCTAGTAAATCAGCTGTCAGTCTGAAGAGGGGCCTCCTTCTCCATGGGGCTATCCTTGGGGAGTCCAGGTCCTGCCTGTCCACAGCCCCTTGGGATCTGAGGGGTGTGTCTTGGGGGCCCAAGGACAGGGCCTCAAGGAAGTCTCTGTGTTTAAGAGTGACCTGACAGGCTCAGTGGGAGACAGTCTTCCCCTTGATGGAACAGCTCTGAGCCCGGGGTCTCTGTGCACATGTGCGCTATACACGCAGGCACACATCTACACGGCCAGCTCAGAGGCTGATGGGTGGCCCGGTGAGTAGCTGGCTGGCATTCCTCTGGACCTGTGATTTCAGGTCACACCCTAACATTTCTGAAATATAACCGCCCCACATACCCTGGATGGAGTGGATTGTGGGAACCGACTGGCCCACGCTGAGCAGGGTGGGGGTGCCCAGTGTGTCTTCCCTGGGTGACTGTGTCCTTCTCATCCTCAGGGGCTCCGACCAAGATTTCCCAACAGAGCAGAGTGAGCTCTGTGTGGCTGGACCATCTGGCCTTTAGCTCTGCTTTAAGAAATAAAAACCCAAGTCACCAGGTAAAAGGGGACAGGAGGTCACTCTTGCCAGAGAAGGGTGTGCCTCTCATCCCTCCCGACAGTAACAATGGGAATGACAACTAGGGCGGGCTGAGTACTCACTGTGTGCCTGGTGTGGTCTCATGGGACCTCAGAGTTGCCACATGAAATGGGCACTCTCTTTATTCCCATGTACAACTGAGGAAATGAAGGTGCAGAACATGGAATAACCAGCCCATGTTCTTGTGGATCGGTAAAGGGACTTGCTTAATCATTTATCCAGCCGTCATTGAACACCTGCTCTGGGCCTGACTCTGTGTGGGGCACAGAACAGACATGGTCGCAGCCTCCACAAAATTCAAGGTCAAGCATACTTTATAGGACGGAACAGGCATGCACGTGAGCATGCATGAGCCCAGCAGGCCGGGGTGGGGCGGGCTCTGTGCTGGGCCCTGGTGCCCATGCTCTGTATGCTCTCTGTCTGGAGTGGAGAAGAGGTGCCCCTTCCTCATTCTCCTCCAGATGGACGGACTGCTAAAACGTGAACCTACTCACGTAACTATTTGAGGTAACTAAAGCTTGCACATGGTACGGGCTTAACACATTGTTGACAAACAAATGTTCAGCAATTAGGAGTAATGGAAAATAAGTTTGGTGTCATATAGTGTGGAAAATGTGTGGTGTCATATAGTGTCCTTTGAAAATCACCCTCAATCTTGAACTCTTCAGGTAGCCCAAGTTTTAGCCTTTACCACAGCTGTAAAGGACCACAAAGAACTGTGCAGAACTGAGAACTTGGGAAGGCAGCTTGATGCTGAGCAAGGGGCACAGGCTGTCTTCGGTCCTGCTAACAACCATGAGACTTTGGACTGCTCACTCACCTGTCAGCCTGCTTTTCATCTTCAAAGGGAGACAGTAATACTCCTTTGTGGGGAGGCTGTGGGCACTGGACAGAGAACGTAGGAGAGTGTCTGACACAGTGCCTGGCACATTACAGGTCTCATTACATGGCAGTCCCC